TCTTCCTCTAAAACTCCTAATTCATCCCTGACGCTATATATTACTGACACTATCCAGTGTTGCTGTTTAAACATTATTCCCATCTGTCTAACATATAATCAGTACTGCAAAATGGTAACTGTACAAATATCTTAAATGTTATTAGCAAACCAAAGAAAGAGGTCAGCACCAAGAAGATACTTTAACTGTTGGATGTTACATTGTTACAAGTAATTTTTTTTCTTCTGATACCGGACTACATCGGGTTTAATCTCAATCTAATTTAGGTTACCTACTGATATCTAAAATACTTCTAGAAAAGTTCAAAAGATCCTTATAACCGCATATATCTCATCACATTGTTTTGACATCAGGGAAGTGTATTAACTGATGAAAGATCAAAAAGCTACAGAATAACATTTTGAAATCATTGCATTAAGGTATTTGCATATTATTTAGTCCAAACCCCTTAATTTACAGAAGAGGAAATGAAGCAAAAGTAATATTTTATTTATTACGTTGGTGGTGAGTACACAGGGTTCATTTTATTATACTTCTTTCCACCTTACGTGGACAGTGAATATATTGTTTTTGTGTAAGAAGTAGTTCATACTCGGGAAGGAAGGAGGGAAAGAAAGAGAAAAGGTAGAAGGCAAAATAAGTAACAGAAGCAAGAAGTGCGGGAGCTGGAACCAGATATCCAGAGCTCTCAGCTCAGCTCCCGTCTGGCATCTTCCGTCGCACTATACAGCTTCCTGACCGAAGCCTGGGTCATATTAAGCTACAATTTTCTCTGTCCATATACCACCTAATAGCCCAGAGTTCTACCAGATCAAATTACCAGTCTAGTTGGAAATTTGTCAAGAGACATTATTAACACCATTAGGGACCCGAACTAAACCAGAAAGCAACCTCCTCTTACTCAACAGAATTTCTAGTTATAAAAGAAAGTAAACATTTCAGGAAATCTTTACCCAGTAAACAAAAGCTTACAAAGCAAGTAGAATGAAGCTTTAACATTAAAAATCTTCAAAGTTACCCTAAGTCAAATCTTCGAGAATACGCATGAAAACCAAAGATTTGCAGCATAATATATGCATGTGTTTAATGTCACCAGTATCTACTGAGCCCCAGCAACACGGTAATGGTTGTGTTTGACAACATGGTGTTAGAAAGGCCAGCAATGGGGTCAGTCAGGTTACCTGGACATGATCACAGCTTCGGTGGGAAACTGCTGAGCAACTTTAAGAAAGTTACTCATCTTCTCCATACTTTAGTTTTCTCACCTATAAAATGAGGGTGTTGACTAGGAAATCTCTAAGATGAAGCTACTTGAAAACCCCCTAATTCTAACTCCATGACAAGAGCCTGGTTCTTCTACATCTTGAGAGATCTACAAATAGCTATGAAATAAAAAACCCCCTTCCAAACACCAACTTCCCCATCTCTTTGCAATGCATGTTCCTCCTAGATATTGTACAAGATACTAAGTAAGTGCATTTCAGATCTCACTGGGCATCAGATTCTCCTGAGAACATTTTAAAATGCAGATGCCTGGGACCCAGCTCAGACCTATTAAATGATAACACCTTTGGTGTGGGGGGGAGGGGCATCCTGTGAGGTTCAGTGTTTTGTTTAAAGCACCCCTAAATGACCTGATATGCAGGCAGGTTCAAATATCATCACTACATTGGGCAATTCAATGATGCAGAATCTTTCAGATCCAGAAATATAAAAACAGTTAACAGGTCTGGGTGGCTTAATGAATAATTAAGCCTTTTCTTTTAAATAGATTTTTAATGGGACCAATACATTTTTTATACACACTTCCAGCTCAAAATGTGAATATGAAGGATGAAAAACTAAATTAGAAAGTCTGTTCAAGTCAATAAATAAATCATGCTTTGGGAAAGTACAACTTCTCACAGTTAATGACATAGAAAACATTAAAAAAAATAAATAAAGAGTATTCTGAGATGCGTGAGCTTAGGAAGCCCACCCATCATTAGTCATGTGTTAGAAGGTTACCATCCCAAATGGCATTTAAAAGTCACAACAACATTTTGGACATAATCACCCGCTTATTACTCGGAAGTTTACCCAAAAGCTCCATTTCTCTAGATTTGGCTTTTTAAATGTCAGCATCTGAATCAACATAACATAGTCCAAGCAAAAATTTCACCTTGCAAATGTTTGACAAGAGGAAGAAACAACAAACAAGAGAGGGAAAACAAAAATGAAAGCACTATTTGCACAGTTTTTTTAATGTAAGTGTTTGCTGTAGATCTCTAAGAAAAGGTTTGGTTTTATAGCTACAGCCTTGAATAAATCGTCACACAAGAGGACTTCGATAGAAAATTTTTTGAATTGACCTTGATTTCAAGGTTCAGTCTTTAGCTGTACCTCAAGGATGGTATCCTGCAGCAGGGAAGTCTCGGCCATAGGCAATAGCGAGTCTACAAGCACTGAGAGGAGAGAGCTTGGTGAATATCCTATGTTCCAAACACAATCATGGCTTAAGTTAATCAAAAGAACTATTTTTTCATGATTCCAGTTCCTGGAGCCGTTCTGGGCAATAAGTACGCCTTTTTTCTTTCTAATACATTGAACAGATCCAATGTCCTTTTTGTAGCAATTAACTAATAAAGCAAATAACATGAACACATACATACCCCCCACACAAATTGGTCATAAGGAAGGCAAG